GTCTGGAATCCACTTCTGAAGGACGTGATTCAAATCCTGTGTGAGCCCAATCCAAGGATTTCCGGGTTCAGGGAGCAGGTACAGGAACCAAACAGGTTTGCTGGGGCCGAGCAGCAGGCCTTGGGGGGCCGACACCCCTTCTTGGCGCATGAAGCGGCCCAATGTCCAGGTTCCCCACAGTAGAGACACAACCCCTCGACATGCCGTCTATTGCGTGCAGGGTCTGGCGGCGCCTAAATCCATGGACTCTTCCTGTGGGAATGAGGTTTCATACACAACAGGGGCCACAGGAGGTGCTTGGGAAGCACGACAACAGTTCCGCCTCTGCAGGTGGGCGTCAATCCTCAGGCACAGGCGAATCAATTCAGTGAGGGTCACAGGACAGTCCACTCGCGCCAGCTCATCCTGCAACTCGTCTGCCAGCCCGTCTTGGAACATGTCCATAAATGCTGCCTCATTCCAAGCCAAATCCTGGCTAAGCAGCTGGAACTCGCTGACATACTCCTGCAAGGATTGCTGTCCCTGCTGCAAATCTTTCACACGACAAACAGCAGTCTGGGTTTTAATAGGGTCCTCATACATTACCCTCAGATGTTCACAAAACCCCCTGAAGTCATTCAGCAGAGCACTATCTTGCACCAGCAAAGGTGTGGCCCAGCATGCTGCAGAGCCAAAGAGCAGACTAATTACAAAACCCACCTTATCCCAGTCAGTGGGGAAGTCCTCAGCTCTCAAGCTAATGAATAGCTGGCACTGTCCCAAAAAAGCTGGAAACATATCTTGGTTACCTTCAAACTTGTCCAGCAAAGCAACCGGGCATCTTCTTCGACGAGGGGGAGGAGGAGTGGGAGCAGCAAGAGCCTGAAGTTGGCCTACCTGTGTAGCTAACATAGCCAGCTGTTGTTGCAGCAAAGCATTCTTGGCTCGCAGCTGATCCATCTCTTAAGAAAAATAAATTTCATCTTGGCAAAAGGCAAACTGTTCTGACCCAGCCGAAGTTTCCAAAAGCAAACACAGATAAAACTCCAAAACTGAAACATTCACGGCTTTATTCCACAAATAACTCTTTGTAGATAACAGATGGCTTGCAGCCAATTAGTCCAATAAATCAGAATCTGTAATCATCACACTAACTCCTTCAAACATTTGCCTTTTGCAAAGGCAAAAGCCATTTGAAACCAGGCTTATATTCCCTAGAGGGAGGGCCATTAATTATCATTCTTACTCCTGAGTTCGCCTGTGCTGCTCTTCCATGAATCATCCTGCTCTCACTCACACCCAGCACAGGCTTCTTGGGAACGTTCTCCTGATTGCTGCCAGTGAACCACAACAAGTGGGTGAACCACAAGTGATATGTCTGATATTATGCGCTCCAGACATCTGCAGAGTGCACTCCCCTCCTTCATCCCCCCTTCAAGGTGATTCCAGTCCAGACTGTCTCAGCAGCTGGATTCAGCACTGTCCCCTGGAGCTCCCAAGACGCATCATCTTGCCGTGATGCTAGCCACACCCTTCACATTAAAAATGAAATACTGTTGCCTGCTCTCAAAAGTAAGTATATATCTATCCATACACAGATCAACTGATAATCAGAGTTGGAAGGGACCTTGTAGGCAGAGGTGGGATCTGACCAGTGTAACTACCGGTTCAGTGATTTTTACGTTTTGCGCATGTATGCTCTTTTCTTTGCTCTTTTACAGTCCTCTGGAAGTTCCCTGGTGCTCCAAGATTTTTGAAAGATATGGTACAGTGGTTCTGCCAGCTGCTTTAAAACTCTGGGATGTAATCCATCAGACCCAGTGATTTGTGTTCATCAATATCAGACAGGTGTTCTCTTACTATTTTTTTGTTTATTTTAACTTTTATTTCTGGTCTGACTTTTACAGTTACGTTTTTGGTGGGTTGAGCTATAGTTTCTTTTTGCGTGAAAACCGATGCAAAGAATGAGTTAAGCAGTTCTGCTTTCTCTGTTGCCTGTTATTTCCTTGTCGTCTTCTCTCTTTAGTGGACGGACTGTTTCCTTGATTTTTTCTTGTTATTTATATGTTGGAAGAAACTTTTTTTTACTATCTTTGACTTTTATTGCAAGTCTTTGTTCATTCTGAGCCTTTGCTTTCCTGACTTCATCTTTGCAGATTCTGGGTATCTGCTGATATTTTGTCTTAGTTTTATGTTCCTCTTTCCATTATGGCACTCACTGTTAAATGCTTGGTTTTGCTTGACAGCAAGGTTGATAATCTTACCTGCTCAAACATCTGTTACATGTACTGGTATCCTTATTAATTTTAGATTGCTGGGGACAGCAATGTTCTGTGTCCATTAATTCTCTGTCCCCACTGTTCAGTTTAAATGGTTATCCAAAAAATCTGTGAATTTAATGCCAAGTAACTCAGTCCCTTTCTTTGATGAATGCAAACCATCTCTTTTGTAGAGTTTTTCATTGGACCAGCTGCAGACATCATGACTAATAAAACCAAAGCCTTTCCTTTTACACCACTCCTTTAGCCACACATTAAACTCAGCTACACGCTGGCCTTTCCCTTTTTGTTCCTTGTACACATACCTTACACACCTATACACATGCTACCGTGTTTCTCCAACAATATGCCCCCCCCAATAGGAAGTCCCAGCATGTTTTCTAGGCATTAAGCCCCTCCTCCCAAATTTAGACCTATTTTAAAACATGTGAAATGGGGAGAAGGGTCGGGGGGACTTGCTGTTAGAAGTGGCAGCCACGCCTCGCCACCAGCCACTCCTAATGACCAATCATGGATTGCGGAGGGCTCCCTACCCCCACCAAGTGCCTTTGCTGCAGACGCGGGTTAGCATGTGGGCGGCGGTGGCGTGCAAGTCTGCCAGCAGAATTTCAGCTGCTTCTTGGGCCTCCGTAGCTTCCACGGTTCCTGCCGGCACTGGCGCCAGCACCGTCTCCAACAACAGCAGCAGCAGCTGCTGCGGGAACCATGGAAGTTATGGAGGCGGCTTCCCCACCCGAGAAGTGACTGAAACGTTTCCACGGTTCCCACTGCTGCTGCCGCTGTTGTTCGAGACAGCGCTAGTGAGAGAGGGACAGCTGCAGCTCGGCCTGGGCGCGCTTGGAATGCAGGAACGGGCTGCACACCGGGACTTTTGGAAACTTGCAGAGCCCGAAGCTGGAGCACCAAGGGTAGCAGCAGCAGAGACGCTCGCTTGGCTCTTCTCACGCCCAACCAGCCGCTCAGGATTAAACAAAAACGCACCACGTGGCCCTCCTAGGTACCTCAAAATGTTTTTTTTCCCTTGTTGCGGGGACGGGGGAAAAAGCGGGAGCGACTCAGATGCTGTTGCTGGCGGACATCCACGCCGCCGCCCTGGATCTGCAGCAAAGGCGCTTGGTGGGGGTAGGGAGCCCTCCGCGCTCCACCATGATCCGCCGTTAGGAGTGGCTGGTGGTGAGGCGTGCCTGCCCGCGTTGCGCTCTAGGCGAGGGTGCATGGGGGGGGGGAGAAATTAATTCACCCCCGAAAAGATGTCCTAGCCATTTTTTCGGGGCTTAAAAAAAAAGATCTGGCCTTATTATATGAGAAACACGGTATATACCTATATACACACATATATACATAAGTGTTGTAAGTATGTGTATATATTAATAATTGCAATAGGCATCATGTTGGGGACATGAAATTAGGTAGTCCATTAATATCCACATGAGTTGTCCTGTGCAGTTTTTCACAGTAAGTTCTCCACTCACAAATATGGAAGAGAAGTTTGACATACTCATATTATTTGGATAATTACTGACAAAGACAGTAATTAGGGAATTATTTTTGTAGCATTTTTTTCAGTGCTGTTGTAACTTTTAAATGGTCACTAAACAAACTGTTGCAAGTCAAGGACTACATGTCCTTGGGAGCATGGGTCAGACAGATGACATAACAGCTATCAAAACACTGAGAGGCATTCTGTCCTCCTCACTAGTCAAGTTAGCCCTCTTTTAGTGGCCAGAATTAAAACTGCCAACTTGGTTGTTAAGTGAAGCAGTTGCTAAGTAAAACTGCAACTTTATTATTTTACTTCAGCTTTTCTGACCTAAAAATGTAGTACAGGTAGTCCTCGGTTTACAACAGTTTATTTAGTGACTGTTCGAAGTTACAACACTGAACAAATAATTTATGACCGTTTGTCACATTTATGATTGTTGCAACATCTCCAGGGTCATATGATTTAAATCTGGATGCTTGACAACTAACTCACATTTATGACCGCTGCAGTGTCCCGAGGTCATGTGATCCCCTTTTGTGACCTTCTGGCAAGCAAAGGCAATAGGAAAACCAGATTCACTTAACACCTGTGTAACTAATTTAAGAACTGCAGTGTTTCACTTAACAATATGCAAGAAAATGGAACAAAATTTACTTAACAAGTGTCTCACTTAGCAACATAAATTTTGGGCTCAATTGTGGTCGTAAGTCGAGGACTACCTGTAAATGTGAGGATTGGTTGCAAAGTTACTTTTTCATCATTGTGATAACTGCAAATGATTACTAATCAAGTCAGTCCTTAAACGAGGACTATCTGCTCAAGCAGTTACTCTATCAGTATGAATGTTGAAGCTAAATAGACTTATGTGGTATTATATTTGCTTCTACTTTTGCAACGTTTTAAATTCATGACAAATCCCTCTTTAAAAATATTTTTGCACAGTAATTACACATTTACAGTGTCAGCTTTTTTGCCTAATTATTGTTGCACTACAGTAATTGAGATTCTGTTATCCCAGAGCACTCACTCATGCCCAACAATCTACTCCAGTGCAACTTGTTGTATGGGAGAAAGCTTTTCAAATTTAGACACTGGGATAACTGCAGGGAAAAAGTATCTTCCCTATCTTCTTCCTTCCTGGTTTTTAATATATTTCAAAGGAAATTATAATATTCTTCAAAATCATACAGAAGTTTCATCTTTCCATTCCTGCTCAAATTTATAGTACTGAATAAAAAGACAATCACACACACATTGGGAAATCAGTTCATGAAATATATTAAAAGATACAAATAAATAAAATAGGTACACATGAAGTGGTGTACATCTTAGTGAACTGTGCTAAAGGATCAAAGAAGAGCATCAATCACACATTAGTGCAACATATATTTAACAAAGAAATTATTTCACTTAATCCTGTGCCAGACAAATGTCATGACTTCAGGTCTTAACTTTCCAGAGGCTGAGGTCCACAATACAGTGGAAGAGTCATCCTTCCTTCTAAAGTACACTTTTAAAAGTGTGTAACCTAAAGGGTCGGCATTGAATCTGCATTCACCTGAGCATCAACTATGCTATTTCTGCTGAAGCTCAAAAATTGGCATGGAGGTGGGTCACAGTTTTTGGTTAAGGTATGACATGGAACTTTGACAGAATGGAAGGTTTTTGGTCTTGTTGATTCCATTTGGGTGTAAAACAATCTTCCCAAAACTCATGGTTTGGATCACATTTAAGGAATTTACAATTTCTCCTTCTTAAGAACATTAAAACCCTAACCAATCAAACATATTCTTTTTTTTTGCAATATTTTGAAGATTCAAACTTCAAATATCCAACAGGGTTGTTTTTTTTTTAAACTAAGACTTTTGCTCTTTCAAAAGAAACTGGACCTTGCAAGCTATCCTAAAACTTCAAGTTGTCCTTCAAGTAACATGTTATTCACAAACTGTATTTTTATCTTCTTTCTTCTCATTACCTCACCCTTCTGTTCTAAACTCTGTGCCTCTCCCATATGACACAACCTTCCCCAAAACAAGGAAAAAGAAAGCTCAGTTTCAATCTCATAGAAGCAACAAGTGAAATACAAGGGTACTAATTCATCTTTTGCACATCTCCCAAATGCCACAATACAAACATAATACAGATCCAAGGAAACACTGTACAGAGAATGAAGAAAAGTATCAATTATCCCATCCCAGCAAAACTGTCACTTAGCCTATTTACCCACTAGACCCCACATTCTTCTTTAGTCCACCAGCTGCCCTCTAGTGCTTGATCTTCATTGGGATGGAGTTCATTCTCAAAATGTTTATCCATGCAGATATGCTTCAAGCCAGGTTTCTCCAGAGACCTTAAGAGATCTGTAAGAAAGGGTAGTCTTTGATTACACAGAAAGGGGAGGCAGGGTATGTGTCACAATATGTGCCTTCCCAATCCTTCAACGTTTTTGTTACCCCCTTACATTTCTTTGATTCTCATCTCTGTGCACATTGATCAGTATACAGAGTCAACGGAGTGAGGAAAAATTTCCATTCGTGTCAAATGATTGTTCCCCAATTGTGAAGAAGCAGGCATTCTGACCATCATTTCTCAAGGACTATTCTAGTTTTGCCCTGATCTTACCTAATCACTAAGATAATGTGAGAATATATGTTGTCTTTCATTCCCATCAGAAGCCTAGGTGGAGGATGCAAGGAACCAGATCTCAGACTCTGGAATTTCTTGTTCTGGTAAATCATTTGTTTAAAATCATGCTCTAAAGATGATTTATTTCCGTAAGATTTAGAGATTACATAGCTGTTACTAGGGTATCTATCCGATCTATGGTGCTATTGCAGTTCTTATTATCAGGTATATACTGCCTAGCAAAGCTCCAGATTTCAAGGAGCTGCCTTTATTATGCACTGCACAATGAAACATGGGCAAGGCTTAATTTGCTCCCACTATAGACCATGTGAGGGAGACATCAATTTAGCTTTGTTCAGTTGCCCTTTTATCTGCTTCAGCCTATCAACTGTTTTACCTGAGCCAATCGAAACAGAGTGCATAAAATTCTTGCCATATTTACCGCAAAATGTCTCCAAAGGCTGTAAGTAGGGGCTTGCTCTGATAGGTAATACCATACTTGGCACAGAGGGATTTCACAAGAGGAGCTACTTTATTATAGTTGTGGCGAGGCATTGTGGGGAAAAGGCTGTAGAGAAATAAAAAAGTTTGATTTATTTTTTTAAAAATAAAGCTGATTAAAAGATTCACAGATCACATAAAAACACAAACTAATAAAGAATGAAAAAGCTTCCAATTTCCTATGCAGCAAATATAGGTACAATTTCACAATTACTGCTTACTCTATACTACGAAAAAGTCATTTTTTCTATTATCCAATTTTTTTCTAATCATCAAAACCACAAATCATAATGCTTTTTTCCCATTTTAAGTAAAAAAAAATTCAGTCAGTCATAAATGTAGATACTGGGGTTTGTTTTTTTTAATCAATGAAGTTAATTTTGCCATCTCTACTGGTTCCATCATCTTCACCAGCCATTCCTCCATAGTGTGCTATGACAAGCATTTCCAGTTTGGAGCATAAAAAAATCTCATTGCAGTTGTCATATATCTAACAAAATGCACTTAAACCTCTCTAGGGGCATTCCTCACTATACCATATCTGTAATTTATTCTGCCTCCCTATCTTCCTCTTCCAGATTAAAAAAAATGTCAACACTTTTTAATAAGCTACTCTGTAATGTTTTCATTGGAATGTCCGGACGACTCTAAATCTCAGAGTCTTTCTTTCAATTCCAACAGTTAAATTATCCAATTCTCTTTGTTGAACTTTTGATTTTCTAAAATTTTCACTTAGTTAATGATTTGTATTACCTCTCCAGAAAACCAACTTTCATCTCCTTTCTTAACTTTAGAAATATTTCATATTTTTTTTTCAAAAGCATCCATTTTATTTCCCAACTGATAAAATTTATTCCATTTGTTGAAAAAATTTCTGAAGTATATCTTCTGTAGTTGCCGACTGTTCTAGCACACCCCTTCTGCTCTAGTAGTCTTTTTTTTTCTCCAGAAAATGTCCCATGCAGGCAAAATAAAGACAAACCACTTTGTTTTTCCCCTTGTTTCCTTCTTTCAGCCACTTTCATTTCTGTCACAACAAACATATTTCCAAATGAAATATGGTCTGAGTCCTGGGTCCTAGTCTGAGTTCTTAGCTTATATTTTGTTGTGTAGAATCCCCCAAATGTATACATTCTTTAAAGATATTTGTGTGCTGAGCTGTTCTCTTTAGCTGATTCAATGAAGTATTATCAAAGAATTTTAACCAAAAATAAGAAACATTTTAAAAAAGGACTGTGCCCTTGTCCATTTTAAAACTTTCTTACATCTTTGCTTAATTAAGCTTCTTGCAAATAATTCTTGAACTTAAATAAAAATCTCTCTTGTTTTTTTTTTTTATAGTCTCAAAAGAAGGTTAAACTCACTGCAAGGAGTTTTATATTTGCCAGAGACATTTATAATTAAGTAATATTATGTTAAGGAGCTGCAGTGGTGCAGTGGTTGGAATGCAGTACTGCAGGCTACTTCTGCTGACTGTCTGCAATTTGGCAGGTCGATTCTCACCAGGCTCCAGGTTTACTCAGCCTTCCATCCTTCCAAAGTCGGTAAAATGAGGACCCAGATGTTGGGGGCAATAGGATGACTCCGTAAATTACTTAGAGAGGGCTGTAAAGCACTGTGACACGGTATATAAGTCTAAATACTATTGTTAAGGTTTTACTTACTGGTGTTCAATCTGGAAATTCAGATGACCGGTGAACCAGTCATTGAAAAATGATTGATCCACATTGCATGTTGCGTGGAGCTGTGGGAAAACAAAGAAAGAATATTTTTTCCCTTGGTCCACAAACTTATTCAATATTTCCATTCTGATACTTCATTCTAATTTTTATTCCAATGTAACATCTGGTGACAGTGAGCAAATTGTCTAGCTGGAAATCTGGATCTGTTTTATCTCTCACTAGTATTAACTGGATCCACAGAAGCTAGGTTTACTTTTTGCTATTATTTGTATTTATTCATTCACTTTAAAATGTTTTATGCCCTTAGATTACCAGATTCTAGGAGGCTCACAATTCTAAAACATTCAAACATATTCCAACATAAAAAATAATACGTTAAAATCCTAACAAATCACTGTCTGTTAAAGAACAACCTCATTCCCCACCCCGCCAAAACCTGATAAAAGAGGACTGTTTTCACAGTTCTTCTGAATGATAAAAAAATCAGAGCTAATATTAGTTCAGAGGAAGGATGTTCTAGAGTGAAAGAGCTGTTCCAGAGGCAGCCACTCTCTACCTCCCCAATCTGTATAGGTATCTGCTGCTTCCTTTCCCTGTTAGATCACGTAGTTAACCCATGTGGAAATATCTGGTTTTAAGCAATACCTTCCCTTGCATATTTAAGACATACCCAAGGCAAAACATGCTCTGGCAATCTCAATCCTTTCCTCCCTTCCTCATATGATAATGGAATTCACCTTAAGGCAAGAACAACTAACTCCAGTTTTGAGGAATACAAAATCTGACAGAGTTTTGCTGCCAACAGATCAGGGTATTTTATCCAGGCCGAGGATGGGTTCGGGAAGAAACTCAAAGGAGGCCAGCTCAGGCTGCAGCCCCGCCCCCCCCCCCCCCCCCCCCCCCCCCCCCCCGCAACCAGCTCTGTGGGCAAACGCTCCAACACCTTTTAAAATCATGTTTGATGGGACTGCTAGCAAAATTGCTTTTTTCATGAATAGAGCATGGTCTTACATCAAAAGACATGGAAATGAGTTCCTTGGAGATAATTTGGAGGAAGAGGCATCTGAATAGTTCACCCAGCTAAATGATAAAGGAGCCCCTGAACTAAATAATGTGGATGACTTAAGAGAGTGCCATTCACATTTTGAGGATTCTTCCCGAGCACAAGAAGCAGAGGCTGAAATAAAAAGCATCAAGCAGAAGGGTAGACCCGCCAAGGTCTTAGTGCTTGAGTTCAGATGCCTGACCACTAATCTCATACATTGGTCTCAAAGATTACTTGTGCACTATTTCCAAGAAAGCCTAGATGAGAAGTTGTTAAAAATCTGCCTGTGCTGTTTGCCTGAAGACAGAATCTATGGCTGGTACAGAATGGCCATAAAAATGGACAACGCCCTCAGACAGCACAGGAAGAGCAATACTGAGAAAAAACCAAAAGGGCAATTCACATGACGTTCATTTCCACGCCAAGGAGAAGGACGTCAAACAGCAGCCCCAACAAATTTCAATGAAATGTTTTCATTGTGGCCAGCTAGACCATTGAGCATCAGAATGCTTAACACCAGCCCCAGTACCTCAAGGGAGAGCACCCGCTCCCCCTAAATGGAAAAAGGCTTTGAATAAGGCAGCACAGATCCAAAAAATACAAGCTGACAAACATCGTTCCCAGCAGCCACAATTTAAAGTGGGGGATAAAGTTTATTTGTCAACTAAATATTTAAAGTTACATTTACCTTCTAGAAAATTAAGTCCCAAATTTATAGGACCTTTTCAGATAATTAAAGTAATAAACCCAGTCACTGTGAAACTTAATCTCCCTAGGTTGTTGGGGAAGATACATCTGGTGTTTCACAGTAGTTTATTAAAGCCGGTTATTACCGTGTTTCTCACAAAAATAAGGCCAGGCCTTTTTTTTTTTTTTGAGCCCCGAAAAAACAGCTAGGACGTCTTTTCGGGGGTGAATTAATTTCTCCCCCCCCCCCGGCGCACCGTCTCCAACAACAGCATCTGAGTTGCTCCCGCTTTTCTCCCGTCCCCTTAACAACAGGAAAAAAAAGATTTTGAGGTACCTGGGAGGGCCACGTGGTGCGTTTTGGTTTAATCCCGAGCGGCTGGGTGGGCGTGAGAAGAGCCGAGCGAGTGTCTCTGCTGCTGCTACCCTTGGTGCTCCAGCCTCGGGCTCTGCAAGTTTGCAAAAGTCCTGGTGCGCAGCCCGTTCCTGCATTCCAAGCGCCCAGGCCATGCTGCAGCTGTCCCTCTCTCGCCAGCGCCATCTCCAATAACAGCGGCAGCAGCGGTGGGAACCATGGAAGTTACGGAAGCGGCTGAAACGCTTCTGTTGTTGGAGATGGCGCTGGCAAGAGGGACAGCTGCAGCTCGGGATTAAACCAAAACGCAGCGCGTGGCGCTCCCAGTACCTCAAAATGTTTTTTCCCCCCTGTTGTTACAGGGACGGGGGAAAAGAGGGAGCGACTCAGACGCTGTTGTTGGAGACGGCACTGGCGAGAGAGGCGCCAGAACCGGTGGGATCCATGGAAGCTATGGAGGCCTGAGAAGCGGCTGAAACGCTGCCAGACATCCACGCCGACACCGCCCGCCTGCTGACCCAGGTAAGGGAGGGATAAGGGAGCCCTCCATGCTCCACCATGATTGGCTGTTAGGAGCGGCTGATGATGAGGCGTAGCTGCCCGCGGGGCACTCCTAATGGCAAGTTTCCCCCCCGCCTCCCCCCCAAAATTTCGCACGTTTTAAACTAGGCCTAAATTTGGGGGGAGGGGCTTAATTTCATTTTATGCCTAGAAAACATGCTGGGTCTTCTTATTGAGGGGGGGAGTGCATATTGTTGGAGAAACATGGTACTTCTACCTTGAGGCCAGCAGAACAGGCACCCCCGAAGCCTTTGTCCATTGCAGGGCATGAACATTATGAAGTTAAGAAAATTTTGGATTCTAGGATTTTCAGGGGGAAGTTACAATATTTAATTTATTGGAAAGGCTATCCAATTTCACAACTTGGGTTAATAGCTGGAAAGTAAATGCTGATAGATTGGTGGGGAGATTCCATGAAAAATATCCACACAAGCCAAAACCAAATTCTTGGGTGGCAGAGGAGGTTAAAATGTGCATTGCATGATTGTGTTTAACCTAATTTCAATCTTTGTGTTTTATGTCGTTGCAGGGGTTTCTTTTCCAATGAGGGAGGGCAGCCTGTCAAAATCGAAATTGACATAAGCGTAGCCATTTTAGTTTGCCTTAGTATATATTCTTTTTCTTATTTTCCCTGTGGCAGTCATGGTGGGAAAAGTTGCGGGCTTGCCACATTCCTAAGGTGGGGGGAGTGGAGATCAAGAGAGTGTTATGGCTAGGTGATCTTCTTTCCCGTGGGAAATGAGGTGTCTAGGCTTGGGGCCCTGGTGGTAGAGATTTATGACATCAAGCAACGTTGTAATACTTCTATTGGAGAATGTGACTTATGGTTTTTTTTTTCTAACTTCTAATATTGTGGGGTAATTCCGGGTTGGGGTCAGATCTGGAATTACCATGGACTTTGCCAATTTGATGTTTTCCTAAATAAAATAAATCTTTTTGAAGATGGACTTCTAATATTGTGGGGTAATTCTGGGTTGGGGTCAGATCCGGAATTACCATGGACTTTGCCAATTTGATGTTTTCCTAAATAAAATAAATCTTTTTGAAGAAGATCCGGAATTACCACGGACTTTGCCAATTTGATGTTTTCCTAAATAAAATAAATCTTTTTGAAGATGGACTTTGTTATTTTTCTTTTAACATGGATTTCATTACTTGAAAACCTGACAGATTGGTTTCCCAAATCATTCAATGATCAATCTCAAAAACCAATGCTTTGAACAAGAGGAAATAGACTTACCTGGGTAGATACCCAGTCCATGTTTGTGTCATAGTCAATATTCATTGGAATGTGATTCATTTGTGAAACCCAGATAAACCAAGCCGCTTCCAGAAATCTGCAAAGTGCAATATAGTGTCAAATTATTTTTTTTGCTAAGCACCCTTTCACGTAATACTATGGAAGTAGTTGAACAATAAAGATGGAATGAAAGCACATTTCATTATAATGAAGACACATAAATTGTATGTTTGATTTTCCAAATGTTTTCAGTAAAGCTACTGAGCAATTTGCCACTTTGGAGAAAGGTGTTCATCTGTCATCAGGGGGTCAGATGCCATCCATACATTAATAGTACTCTGCTGAATATTTTGACCCTTGATTGGCTGAATGATGTTGTCAATATGTTTTTTTCCAATGCCTACAGGCTGTGAAAGTTTGAAGGCAGAGTTAACCTCAATCTTAACAAGACCAAATGGTTGTGGGTACATGGACTTTCTAAGTTTGGGGATTTTCAGTGTGGGGTTCTGAATGGAGCTGAACTGGTAGATGTAACTAGTACACAATTTGGTGGGTATGCTCCTGCTCAAAAAACAAGTTGTTCGTTGTGGCTAGGTTTTTGCACATGTTTATCTTGTACAGCATTTATGCCCATTTCTGCACCAGGAAGCCCTCCTCACAGTTATTCATGCCTTAGTTATCTTATGTGTGGCGCTGTCCTTGAAAACCACTTGGAAATTTCCAGTGGTCCAGAATGTGGTCATATAGCACTTCTGTTTCATGAGTGGTATTTTATGAGTAATTGATAATTATTTAAGAAAAAAATGAAGTTGGGATTACCTGGACAGCCAGTAGTATGCCATGAAACACTTAAACCCCATCATGGGCATGTAGACAAGGATGATTCTGATCTGGTAAGTGACAATCAAGGCTAGATCCTGTTTCAGAAGAAAGTGAGAAAAGATAGCATTTTCTATAAGTAATCCTATGCTATAATATTTCTTAGAAAATAAGCTCCAATTAGCAATATAGGCTTTTGGAGAATGGGGAATAGGCAAAATATTCCACACAGGAACTATTTCACTCCAGAATGGATGTAAATACAGCTTTTTGGGGGCAGAAAACGTTAAGAGATTGGGGCCTTGGAAAAAAATAATACATGTTTGCTGGTGGTGGTGCCTGACAGGAGGCAGGGGAGGAAGAGAAAAAGGGGAGATAATAAAGTGAGGTGGCCAGTGGGACATAACATGCTAGATCAGCAGCCTATTAGCCAAGGGATAAAAATAAACTGAAAGTGGGGGCAGGCAGTGAAATAAAGAATACCAGCCCGCCCTCCCCCCCAACACTTGTCCTATCCAGATTTTGTTTCATCTGAAACTGGGAGTAACCAAAGCATTCTAGGTTTCAGTTCTGTCAAATTGGAGCTGATCCAAAGTAGCTCAACCGAATTTCCAGAACATGATGACATGTAGATCTGAAATATTTTTTTCTCATTTGTGCGTATCCCTAGGTTGGCATACTTACCACCCATTCTTTGCGTTTGATTGTAGAATGGTATATGGAGAACTGGAAGAAGGGAACTATTAAAAGTGGTGCAATTACTGTTAAATAAGAAGAAATATACATCTCTTTAAAAACACGCTTATTCACTCTTTTGCTCAAGTTGTAATTGTTATAGTGCATCCTACACTTTCTCCTTATTTGGCTTATATTTGTTATTTCAGAACTATGTTCTGTTCATAATTCAACTTAATAAATTCAAAAACTAACATGTTTCACCAGGCAATAAAGTAAAGTATTTATTATTCTATATTTCCTCAATCTTATTTTTTTGTGTTGTAATGATTCAGCATCTTTAATTTCTCATATCAAATCAATCTTTATTGCGGTCATAAACCAGCATATAATTTGTCACCTTCTCACTCTCCATTTCTGATGTTACCATTTGTCTTTATTCCCAAATTCTTATGATATGATACTGTCAACTCTCATTTTCATCCCAGATCTCAACATATAAGTCTTCTCTGATTATCTTATAGCCTTTGATTTGCAAATTCATTATCTTAGATGCTGTAACCTATAGCTCCCTGCCCTACAAATCAGGGGAGGCAGTGCAAATAATGGATATGTGGTATTTTTCTGTGACAGAGATACTTACTGAAGAAGTACTTGTGTTGATAATTGTAAGGCATGAACTTCTTTTTCTGCAATCCAAGCTATGAAGAAAGATACATCAGTAGTTCATTCAAGCAACAGAGATATATTTCCTTATGCTCCTTTCGTTATTTATGTTAGTGTGACACATGGACTATGGGCAGCTGCCGAGTATGAGCAGGGTCAAAATGTTCAGATGTTGTGAATCTACTGCTATTGTAGTCTGTGCCACTGCATTCTGAATCAGCTGCAGCTAAGACAGCTAAAGGAAGAATGGATAACTTAAATCCTACTAAGACCGAGTGGCTATAAGTGGCTATTTGCACTGCCCAGGTATAGGAATATTCCACCTTTTATCTTGTTAAGGTTAGTATGCAATCTGGGGGTCTATCTGGATTTGGAGCTCCTGTTTGAATAGCAGGTGTTAGCTGTGGCTAGGAAGATCTTTGGAAAACTCCATTTGATATACCAATTGTGCCCTTTCCTAAATTTGGGGGCGGGGGGGGGGGGGGGGAGAACCTTCAGACAATCATTCATGCCCTAGTCATCCCATAGCCTGATTACTCCAAAGCAGGCTAGATAAAAATCGATGATTTTTAAAATAAAAAAAAATGGATTTTAAAAAATTTAAATCGATTTCTTTTTAAATTTGTTATCAAATTTATTTTAATAAAATGCTTTTGGAATAAAAATCTATCTAAAGATATTTTTCTATTTAAGATACATTAATAATTTAGTTTATTCAGCATGAAATGGAGCTTAGTTATGTAGCATGAGGCTGTATATTCTGCAATATTGGGACTGTTGGTAAGTCAACAGCAGGTCAGAGGAGGAGCAGAGATGAACAGATGCTCTTTAAAAATTATGATTTAAATCAAGCCTTTTTATTACCATAGTGATTTAAATCAAACCCACCTTGCTCCAAAGCTGTCTACATAGTGCTTCCCTTGAAAAATAGAGAAGGCACCCCTTTAAGGCTCCTCAGGGAGCAGTTTTAACTGATCCAGATTGTGGCAGCATGAGCAGTAATGGGCTTGCCTTGGAACGTGTAACACCTCTGCTTTGCAAGCTGCAGCTGCTTGCTGGTTTGCTTCTGAGTACGATTCAAAATGCTGGTTGTTATCTCTAAAGCCCTACACAGCATAAGGCCTGGCTATCCGAGGGACCAGCTGTCTCCTATACCATCTGCCCAGTCAATCTGGAATGCTCCAGGTTCCTTCAAATAAACAATGCCACCCAGTGGGGGGATTCAAATATTTTTGCCACCAGTTCGGTGGGTGTGGCTTGGTGGGCGCGCTTTGCGCATGTACACACACTTTGCGTGCACGCGCGTGCCAAATGTGCACTTTGTGTAGGCATAGAGACATTAGCGCAGGCGTAGAGGTGTTCTAATTTGCCTCCTGCAAGCTTGCACGATCCCAGTCGCTTCAGCAGCTGCTGTGTGGCACTATTCTGTGGCGTGCAAAGCAGCTGCGCTTCAAATTCAGTGGATAAAGGTGAGTATGGAAGCTTGGGCGGGCGGGTGGGCCCAACAGCAGAGGAGAGAACCGGTTCGGTCTCCGCTGCTCATCGCTGCTACCGGCTTGCCAGAACTGGGCCGAACTGGTAAAATACCACCACTGATGCCACGCCTCAGAACTCTCTATCTTCTCTGTAGCAGAGATTGCCTTCTGGAACGAGGCTTCCCCTCAAGATCTGGATGGCCCCTACTCTGCTGTTGTTAAGAGTTTTTGATGATCTGGCTCTTTACACAAGCCTGTGATGAGGGAAACCTCTCACTTCATTGTGCTTGGCATTTTTATCTTTATTTTTTATGTATTTTATTGTAATTTGTTTGATTGTTGTGAGGTACCCAGAGTCCTTGAGAATTAGATGGTATAAAAGTTTAATACATCAGGATCATCATCAACATTATGAAGAGAGACCAAAAAAGACAGATTTGTAGCTGAAAGTTGCAGTCTTATGCACACTTCACATTAATATTTCAGACTCCATCCTTGTCACCAATCCTTGCATTTACAACTTTTCCAGGTCTATAAAGCAAAGGAAAACTGAAGGAAGATCATAAGCACAACTTCAGTTTCACTTAGTGACCATTCTGCTTAACAACCAAGTTGCTGGCTTCAATTGTGGTCACTAAACAAAGACTACTTGCAAATGTTAAAGCCTAAAGGAAAGCTGAAGTAAGATCCTAAATAGAGTTGTGGTTTCACTTAGCAACCAATTGTGCCGAACGAGGACTACCTATAACAACAAATCAAACAAAAGGATCCAGTAAAAGTAAATCAAATTAGGTTTAAAAGAAAAAGTAAAAACAACAACATGACTTGGCAAACACAAAACACAGATAATGAAGATGTATTGCCTTCAGTATCTTCTATTTGTTCTTCTAAAATTGCTTTTCAATAATATGCACTCTACAAATGTACCTCTCTAGATAGTTTCTTCCCTAGGGCAAATGCAATGGGATGCATGTTGAGATCAGGGTCTTTACGAAAGCAGTTTGGTTTGGCATGATGCTGGAAATGCAAAGCATTCCACCATTTGGCTGGAAATCCCTAGAAGAAAGGAGAAAAGAGTAGACTTTCAGATCACATGAGGACAAAAAGGAAAGCCTCCTTAAAGGTCAGGACACTTACTTTCAGGAGACTCAAGATGATCCTATGGGCAATATGGTTTCCCTTGGATGTTTTAAAGACTGACAGATGACCCAAATCATGTTGGAGCCAAGACAATTGGGTCTGGAAAAAGAAATCTTTTTTTAAAAATGAAGTTAATTTCATATACTCTACAATATAGAACTAAATCAATGCATTAGGACACATTTTAGGGAGATATTCATGTTAAATAAAATAAGATTCTGTAAACCTGCAACCTTTAAGTTGAAAAGGCCTAATTGGTCCCTGTCTATGAATTGCATTTGGACCATGGACTGTCAATTTAATGGCCAGGATTGCTGTCATTAAGCGATGCAGTCACATGATATTGCACTTTACAACCGTATCGCTTAGTAATGGAAATTCCGGTCCCAATTACTGAAGTTAATCAAGCACTGCCTGTAATTTGATTCTGACTTCGAAAAGAATAACCAGGTGCTAACTGTACTGCCGTTAAATTGCAAAACTGAGTGAAAATATCCCAGATCAGTGACAGCTAACCTTTTCATCGTTGCATGCCAAACATGCCCGCGTGCGCATGCACATGCCTACACCCATAATGCAACACACACATGACCCCCTGCCCCCTGCGCATGCATGCACAAACCCCCTGCCTTCCCCCACACATGCGTGCATAACCCATGCTCCCCCACCCCCACCACATGCACACGCATCTCCTGCATGCGCCCCATCCCTGCGCCTGCGCAGCAGATACCCGACAATTAGCTGGCTGGTGGGAGGCGTGCATACATGCGCAGTGGAACTGAGCTGGGGTGATGGCTCACGTGACGGCAGAGATGGCTCTGCATGCCACTTCCGGCATGCATGCCACAGGTTCGCCATCATGGTCCCAGATGCTAAGGCTGTTATGTTATGTGACATAAGTAATAATGCTGTTGCAGTACAGAAGAAACCCTCCCAAATCTAGTTATTGTACTTATCTCACTTTAGTGAAATGTGTGAAATTCTTTAGATCCTCTACATATACAGAAAAAGATGCCTATTCTTATTACATGACAAGATCCATACCGTACCTGAGCAATAGTAAAAAATGCAACACCTGTGTAGAATGGTATTGAAGATGTGCCAAAATACCAGATTATCAACCAAGCAGAGATATCAAAGAATAAAATATGAAGAAAAATCAGACTGAAAAACAGGAGACTTGGTGTCAGAAGTCCCATTTTCTCAACAGTTGATCGCAGTTCCCGGAAGTCATTAATAAGCAATTGCTGTGGGGAAAACCCAACAACAGTTGTCATTCCAGATGAAAAGAATCACTTAGTTCCATAATCATACAAATAATAATATGAAATGTTGATTATAAAATGTAATTCCCCAAGCTTTTTATTGGTATTGTTTTAAATTTTGACAACCACCTCGATGCTGCCTAGTTGTGTATGGTGCCTTTATTTCATTTTGTATTGTATTATATTATACTTTATTGAATATAATTACTACTCAGAATTCAGAGCCATCATCCAAGAGACACTGGACGGTATCCGGTTGCAGGAGGCCAAGTCCAACAACTTGACTGTACGGTCTTACAGTTCTGATTCCTCTTATTTAATATTTTGAAAAAGTACGAAGGTCATAACATAAAAAGTTCTCAGTGACAGAGTTCATTTATATGGCCGCCCATCTCATACAAATGACTTTGAATGACTTACAAGATTAAAAACGAACAACACCCCCAAATATAACTCCCCCCCCCCCCGCCTAAGGATAAACAATTAACTATTAACCATCAATAGCAGCACAGCTCATCTTCTCCCCTGATCTAAATGCCTGTGTGAACAGCCAGGTCTTCAATATGTTGTGAAGGCTAACAGGTCACCCAAATGTTGGGGTGAGAGGCATAGCGTTCCACAGGACAGGTACTGTCATTGAGAAGGCAGGACTCCAAAAAGATGACCTTGCTTAATAGAAGAGCACCCAGGGCATCCTTTTTTTTTTACTAGATCTAGGGCAGAAACAATAGGAGAAAGGATATTTATTGCCTTATGCAATGGAAGGCTTCGCAGTTGATGACCAGCATCTTCCCATACGCAAAGGCAATGGGGGAAGTAGGCAGGGAAGATTGCAAGTTGGCTGGGTAAGTCTCCTCTGCCCATATCCTTTCTTCATTCTCACTTACCACACCCACTTCTCCTTCCCCTTCACTTGCACATACAGCACATCCTCTTTCCCTGGCCTCCCTGTGCTCAAACAGATGCATTCAGCCTGCTCAGCCTGTACTTGCTTTCCCCAGCCTCCCTGCATACATGTGCACCTTACACTCTCTTGGGATCTTTCTGACTCTGCACTGCATTGCAGCACTCCCTTCCCCAACTTACATATGATTGATGTTGGGCTTTCTGCCTGCACCCACACGTTACCTGGAATTCCTTCCACTTCCATGTCTGAAGCTACAATAACCTGGACTTGCCATCTCTAAGCGATGCAGTCACGTGACTTTATATCAGCATTACTTAGAAACAGCCATTCTAGTCCCAATTGCAGCTGTAACTTGGGGACTACTTGTAATGTAAGACCAGAAGTAGGCAACCAGTGGTTTTCTAGTGCTTAATTACAATCTCTACTGTTCCTCATTGTGCTAACTGTAGCTGTTAAAGGACACAGGTTCCTTATCTCTAACGTACAATCAGTAACATAGAATAGAATTCTGATTTTAATTTTCTCTGCACTGTATTTTTTTTTTAAAAGTATAGAAATATATCTGCATTCCCAATTCTGATGTCTTACAAACACTCACATTTTTACTGGGTTCACAACTTGGTTGATCATGTGCCAGTTCTCCTATCAGCAAGGAATTCAAATACTTGTTTGGTTGAGCCTTACTCAAGTGAAATGCTGTGAATGCATCCTGTGAGAGAAAAGTTATTATATTAAACAGAATGAGAAACACAGATTTAAACTAAACTTAAACTGAAAAGTAGTCACTTTCTTGTCCCACGCTCCTGAATGCCTTTAAGGAGCTCGGGACAAGCAATCCAACGCTACAAAAGTTTCCACTTAATTTATTGGACTTTATTAGGTATCCTCAAAGTATAACTCTTAGTTATGTAGAGATTCATCTAATGTCCAATCTTTGCCTCAATAGTCGCCTCATTAGAAAAGATGGTTATCTTCATCCCATAGAGTTATAGCAAAGGAAAACTCCAGCTCAGGGTCCAGGTAAAAATGCCCCAAAACTCCCCCAGCCCAACCAGAGATCAATTCAGTGACCAATCAGGATTACAAATGTGACCATGTGACATGAACTACATCTCCCAAGAGGCATTAACTACATTTCCCATGAAGCATTCCCTTAAGGGGACAGCTCTCATTCCTAAACTAACCATATACTGTCTAACCAGCAGTCAGAAAGAGCTTACATTTAAAACAGTATTATACATTATTCAGTCAGTGTCCACCGATGGCATCTAGAGCAGTGGTTCCCAAACTTTTTCAGTCCACCGCCCCCTTAGTGCTACAAACTCATCCGCAGTACCTCTACCCAGGGGTGAGATTCAAATTTCTTAACAACTGGTTCTGTGGCCGTGGCCTAATTTGTGGGCATAGCTTGGTGGTCACGTGACTGGCTGGGTGTGGCTTGCTGGCTGGGCATGGCTTGATCATGTGACGTGGTGGACGTGGTTTGGTGGTCATGTGACTGGGTAGGCGTGGCCATGTGACTGGAAAACCAAATACAACTGGTCCTCGCTTAATGGCCGGTTGCTTAGCAAGTGTTCTAATTTATGACTGACCTCTCCCGAGCTACTTGACCTGTTTTTGGAGTTTTGACTGACACACACACACACACACCCTTCTAACCCTGCTGGAGCAGGTGGTTGGACTACATATCTCATTCACTTTCTCCTCCCTCCCTCCCTCTCTTTCTTTCTTTCTGTCCCTTCCTTCCATCCCCCCTTCTTTGTCTATCCCTTTTCTTCCTTTCTTTCTCCCTTTTTCTTTCTTTCCCTTTTCTCTTTCTTTTCTTTCTTGTCTCCCTTCTCTCTCTCTCTCTCTTTCCCACTCTCTTTCTCTCTCCCTCCCTCCATCCCATTCACTTTCTCCTCCCTCCCTCTTTCTTTCTCTTTCTGTCCCTTCCTTCCATTCCCCCTTTCTTTGTCTATCCCTTTTCTTCCTTTCTCTCTCCCCTTTTCTCTCTTTCCCTTTTCTTTCCTTACTTTCTTGTCTCTTCCTCTTTCCTTCTCTCTATCCCTTCCCTTCCTCCTTTGCTTTCTCCTCCTAAGCTAGGAGACCCACCTGAAACACACACATACACACACACACACTTCCAACAAGGTAGGCCACCAGCAAGCCAGGCAAGTGGGGTGGGGGGGAAGCTGAATTGCACCCTGCGAGAGGCCCACCTCCAGCACTCCTCTGCCACCCCCTTTGCCTCTTAGTGCCCCCCTAAGTCATCCCGCTGCCCCCCAGGAGGTACCACCCACTTTGGGAACCACTGATCTAGAGTTTGAGCATTAACCTGGGAGTCATTATTCAAAAAGTAACACACAAAATTTTGGCTTTATTCATATTTAGATTTAATTAGTATAATCACTGGTATTTAATATTTTTTATTAACCGTGGCTAAAATTTTCAGAGATCTTTGAGGCTGTATCAAGGCTTTTGGGGACATGCAGCCTTGGATCTGCACTTCATTCTAAAACATGACCTGGAGCAAAAGCTTACATACATTCTTTTAAGAAATCCTGGCTGTGGTGGTCATAAACGTTTCAAAAAGGATTTGGAAGAATTGTGTTGGATCTCATTTAGCTCGTCACTATTTATTTAAGTAGGTTTGTGTTTTCCAGGCACAATCCTCAAAAGTACTAGTAGCTGTTTAAAGAGTCATGTTGATTTAATAAATCACTTCTTTAAAGCAGCCACAACTTTATTTTTCGGCTTACACAGAAGTCTGAAAATAATAAATCCCTTTTAATGAATTGTAGAAAATGCTCTACAACCACATCCTTCTTACTTTATTAGCTCCATTGCTTGGTATGTATGTGTGTGTGTATATGTGTGTATGTGTATATGTGCATGCATGTATGTGCATGAGTATACACACACAAGTTTAACCATTACTAGTAATTTGAGTTCCTAATTTGCTAATTTTAAGAAGTTTAGCCTAATTCTTCTATTGGTCAAATACTTCCCTATAAGCATATGTGAACATGTATCACTTGGATTCAAAAGCAAAAGACACTTTGGAGTATACAGGGCAACAGATAGCATCTTTCCACAATTTTTTCACATTATGCATTTACAATAATCTTTCTCATTATGAAGTTATTATTAACTAGTCCATGCATATGATTTCATGCACCTAATATGAGAGAGAGAGAGAGAGAGAGAGAGAGAGAGAGAGAGAGAGAGAGAGAGAGATCAATTTGGATGTTCTTGCTCCATTTTCAAACAGCAAATAAGAGAGCTTTCGAAAAACTAATGAATTTTCTCAGTGTAACTTCTCCTCTTTCAACATAGGCAGGCTTCAGCACTGTCATCTGAACATCTTGCTGTTAAGTATTTTCTATTAGAAGTAAATCACATTGCACCTTACAATCAAGGTTTCATTTAGCCAATACTTACTATTATACTTCTATCTCATGTATTAGAAAACAAAAATACATACTCTATGTAAACTTTAATCAAGCAGTCAAAAATAATTTATTAGTAAACTTTTCAAATATGATCCAACCACAAACCAGTCTTGACATTACAAATGCTGGGAATCAATCTGGATCTAAATAATTTTAAAGTATTTCTGACAAACATCACACTCTAAAACATCAGCTTATCGAAGACCATTTTCAAAATTTAAAACTGACAATGGCACATCTAACATTGTGATCATAAACATTTTTACTCAACCTTTCTGCTAGATTTCAATGAATTTTATATTCATCAGAGGTGCTTTGAAGCTAGACTTATTTTTTAAAACAGCAATGCTATTTAAAGAGGTCAGACTATACATTAAAACAAGAATTATAAAATAGAATTTTAATGAAAACTGACTCAAATAACTTGTCAAACTTGTCATAACACCAATTAGTTTATACCAATTATGCCAAGATGACACCAATGCTGGCTGGGACAGCATTTAAACAAACCTTTAAAAAGATTATACTGAGGAGAGTTTAGAAACCACCCAAATTTGCAAGGAGGGGGGAAGCTGGTATGAAAAGTCCTGACTATGAAAGCAAAACCATCTGTAACTCCAAGGAATATTTATGGGCACTATTCCTCAGTGAGAAACGCTTCAGGATGGGAGCAACCTCATGAATCCTTGAATTTCTCAGTGAGCTCTATTGTAATGAGGACAAGGATAATCCAAATTTCTTTAAATTTAATTTATAAATTTTAAAGAAATTTGTAATTTTTTTTAGAAGATAGGCTCAAGATCCAAAAAGATACTATCAAGATCCCACAAAGTGATAGCACTGCTTTATATTAGTAAGGCCACACTTGGAATACTGCATCCAGTTCTGATCACCACCATATAAAAAAAATGCTGAGGCTCTAAGAGTGCAGGGAAGAGCAACTAAGATGAATAGGAAGCTGGAGGATGAAACATAGGATGAAAGGTTGCAGTAATTGTGTAGACTGATCTAACAAAGAGAAAAATGAGGGATAACATGATAGCAGTCTTCCAATATTTGAGAGGCTGTCACAAAGAAGTGGGGTTGGGGGTGGGGTACAACCTGTTCTCCAAAAGCACCTGAAGGCAGAACAAGAAGCAATGGATGGAAACTAATCAAGGAAAGATCCAACCTAGGCAAGGAGTAACAGGAAACTTATCAAAGAGAGGTCCAACTGAGAAATTTCCTGACAGTGAGAACAGTTAATTAGTGGAACAGCTTGCCTTCATAAGTTGTGGATGGTCCATCACCGGAGGTTTTTAAGAAGAGATTGGCCAGCCATTTATCCAGAATGGTATATAGGGTTTCCTGCCTGAGCAGGGGTTGGACTAGAAGACCTCCAAGGTCCTTTCCAAGTCCGTTTTTCTGTGTTCTTTCGGGATAGGTGCCCTTTTGCCAATTCAGATCTCCCTCTGCTCAATCAGCACTCTGTACTCACCGTGGCATCCTGCCCAGCGTAGTGGGAAATCACCCTTTGGCCCCCCGGGTGCCGCTTGTAGAAGCTGCTGATGTCGTAGACCTTCCTGTCAATCACAAGCCACTTTTCCTGAAGATGAGGCTGAATCCGTCCCGTGCGCAGACCGATTTCTTCCCACGTGAAAAAACGGCGGGAACAGATTTCGCTCCCGTTCGCCTTTTTCTCTCCCCCTACAGCCCCCACCCCGGTATCCTGCAGCGGAGGAGCCATTTATTCCACAGGGTTAAATTCTGTGCTTCTCCAACAAGGATTTCCTCGACGAATCCACAATTCCCGGACAAGGCAGCGTGAACAGCTCTAGCAACAGGAGGATCGAGCGCGCTCAATCCCTTGCTCTGGAACTCTCTCTTCGGCACCTGATTGGTCCGTCGAGCTGCTAAGATACACCATTGGCCCTCCGGCGCCTTTCCTTAATTAGCGCTGGCTCCTCATTTTATGACTCCGTGTAAATGAGCCGCCTTCGTATGTTTGATTAACGCTCACGCCCATGGCAAGTTTTTCACCTTGCGAGTCTTCGTGGGTTTCTTCAGTCTCAGCTCCCAGACTCAGCACTTCTTTTCCTTTCCAGAGCTTATTATCCCCATGGTGCAGCACTTATTTCATGAATCATTAACAATCTTTACATACCGTCTATCTTCTCTGAATAACTTATTTCATCAGGCTGGCACCTTAGGTCAAATACGTTTTACTCTGAAAAATACATGTTTTAGGCTAATATGTTTAGGGCAATGAGTCGCCCAATGCTCCTGTTTACTGAGTTGTCTTTTTAGAATGGATGAAACGTCGTTCTGTCGGTTATAATAAAAAGAAATGAGGTTTCTCCTTCCCCTACTATTATTTTGAGAAGTAATTAAGAGAGAAAGCAGTATGTTGCAAGAATGCACTAAGCTTTGTCATGCCCAATTTTATCTTTCATGATCCTTGGAGGAAGACTTAGATGCAATAAATCCAGTCCATTAAGTACCATAGAGCTGTCTAAATTTACATGTTTTTTGCTTGCAAGTAGGGAATGAGGAGGCTGTGCCCAGATGGTGCTATTCATGTGAGGGAAGATAACTTCAACATGCATTATCCTGTAGTGTCACCTTCTCTTTAAAAAAGTTTCGCTGAACGAAATAGAAAAAAATACGAGTTTTTAAACTACAGACGCAAGAGTTAGCCCCTTCCACGTACATGATGTATTAGTGGATCTGCTAGGTTGGTTGCATAGTCCTAGAGCTAATTCACATGGAGCATATAAACCAAACTGATCAGGCCTCACTTGGTGAATATTAAAGGGGGTAAACTCTTTTTTTGGAAAAAAACTTCAGGCATTAAATTCATCTGTCGTTACTGTGCTTCTCTGGGCATTTCTAATTTGCAACAAATAAGAATTTATTGAAGCACAGTTTGAAAACTTTCAATCCAAGAACTCCCAATCTTTTGGGATCAGGAAGTACACTGACATTTTGGGATCATGTAGCTGCTCAGAGAAAATGGCTGCCATGGTTGGCTTGCCCATTTACAAAATGGCTGTCACAAAGGGTGTGGCCTTTCATAAAACATCCCTGATGAAATTACTTGCTGCTGTTCCAGCTTTCCTTTTGTCTTTTTCTCTGAACTGATGGATGTACAATATTTCCAAAACATTTGTTTATACCCAGTTTCCATTTTTGTTTTCCCAGAGCACCTACATAGTTGGTCTATGTAGAATCCAAGGTCTTTGAAAAATAGATAACTCTGGAGGCTGTTAAAAATGTAGAATATGACAGAGATGGAGATATCTGTTGGAATATTAGTGCCTGCAATGTGTTTGTTGAAGTCCTGCCTGTAAGAAATAAGTAAATTCAAAAATAAAATGGTATATAAGATGATTAAAGGTTTTACAAATGGGGTTGGACTAGATGACCTGCAGGGTCCCTTCCAATTCTGTTAATCTGTTATCAAATGAAATATATCTCCCTGTATATACATGCTTTGCTTTTATACTTTTGATATGCTCCATTGTTAAGCCTTTTTATACTTTTAAGGCATATGTATAATGTGCCTTTTATATTATTATTATTATTATGTTTGGGGAGGTTATAATCTGTTTGGAAAAATGGTAGTATATGATGAGCTTTTAAAAATTCAGAAGTTAGAAAGAGGCCCTGATGAGGAGATGTTACATTCCTTAACGCTAAGGAAAGATGCCATGTGGGCAGCCAAACTAAGAGGTACGGAGGAGTACAGATGAGAACATAAAGGAAGAAGATAATTCCTGGGGACATGCTAGGATTAGCTGCAACACCTGAGGGAAAATCCAATGAGTTTGAAATTGGAAGGGAATGAGTCTCAAGAACGAGGGAACTTGGGTGACGAGATGAAACTGTATATAAAGTATGTTTTGAGGTTCTAAAGGTGTAGCTTTTGATTTGAACCTGTTTGTTGAGGTTCTAAAGACCACAGGTGCTTTGCAAATTGTCTAATATTTCTTTTTAATAAATCCTCTTTATTTTCAGTGATCCAAGTTCTTTTTTGTTTCTTTGAGTTGTTTCCAACATGCCTAAGACTAATTAATATAACACTCATAGTTTAAAATAAACAATGTTAGTAAGTATTTTCTGTGCTATTGAGGGTCTATCTCACTTTTTCTTTTTCTAAATAGAAATATATCAATATTTTAAGCCATAATGTAAAAAGCGGAGATAAAAAGAGTGCCATTACTCTGACTACCAAACACCACATAGCAGTATAAAGTTGAGATGAACAAGATGATTCCTATGGTCAACATGGATTTTAACATACATGATACATCCTATGAGAACTTCAGTTTTAAATATGAGTAATGACTGAATCTCACAAGATAGCTGCATTTTTAAACATCTGAGGTCTAGTATGAGTTCTAATGAGATTTTCTGTTATTACTATATTTTTATATAAAACTCAAGGCAGCAAACATAACTAATGCTCCTTGCCTCCTATTTTCTCCACAACAGCAGCCTTGTGAGGCGGGTTAGGTTGACAGAAACTTCCTTCTTAATCTTTTCACTAAGTAAGGACCAATTCTAGTACTGAGATTCAGGAATAGTTTGTGTTTTGAACAATACATATGTAAGGAAACACTATATGAGCAAAAGAGGTAAAACTTATATTGCAGTTTGACTATCCCTGTGAATGTCTCTAGCCCCTAGTTCTATATTGTCTTCTCTCACAAGCATATTTTATGCATCTGATCAAGTAAAATGCTATCTATAAAGACATAATACATTTGTGTTGATTTTATTTCTAGTATTTTACTTAAATCCTTTGTTAAACTCTTCCCCAAAAGTTTTAGGCAATTGTACAAAAATGCTGTAAATTAAGTATACTTTCAGAAATAGAAGTGTTAATAGCTCATTTTTATCAATTAATAAAATGGAAAATAAATAAACAGAAGAGAAATCCAAAACAAATCAATATTTGGGGTGACCACACTTTGCCTTCAAAATAGCATCAATTCTAAGTACACTTGCACAGTTTTTGAAGGAACTTGGCAAGTTCCTTCAAAGTTGTGCCAAACAAATTGGAGAACCAGAGATCTTTTGTGGATGTAGGCTGCCTCAAATCCTTCTATCTCATCATGTATTCCCAAACACTTGATGATGGAGATGAGGGCTCTGTAGGGGTCAATCATCACTTCTAGGACTCCTCATTCCCCTTTACACTGAAGATAATTCTGAATGACATTGGTTGAATGTTTGGGGCCGTTGTCCTTCTGCAGAAAGAAATTGGGGCCAATCACATACACATTCTTGATGGTATGGCATGATGGATAAGTATCTGCCTGTAATTCTCAGCATTGAGGAAACCATTGATCCTGACCAAATCTCCCAGTCCATTTGCAGAAATGCAGCCCCAAACTTGCAAGGAACCTCCACAATGCTTCACTGTTGCCTGCAGACCAGAGGTGGTATTCAGCAGGTTCTGATCAGTTCTAGAGAACCGGTAGTGGAAATTTTGAGTAGTTTGGAGAACCGGCAAATACCACCTCTGACTGGAGATTTTACAGTATCCTTCCTCTGCCACACCCACCAACCCACACCCACAAAACCAGTAGTAAAAAAAAATTGAATCTCACCACTGCTGCAGACACTCATTGCATGCTCTCCAGCCCTTCAGCAAACAAAATGCCTCCTGCTGCAGCCAAATATTTCACATTTTGACTCACCTGTTGCCATTTTTCTACACTCCAATTCTGATGCTTTTGTGCATAGTTGAGTCATTTAGTCTTGTTTCCACAACTTTTCTGGACACTAGATGGGATACCTGGGTCCCACTGGTTTCTGCCAGTTCTGTGCCGATAGCACTGCTGGACATCTTCCGATGTCAAAAGGAAGTAAGCATGATGTTTCTTTCAACTGCTGCATTCCTTGGCTGACCACTGTGTCTATGGTCCTCGGTGTTGCCAATTTCTATGTGTTTGAAGCTTGAACAGCACATCTGAATTGACATACAAGTTGAAAAGAGAGGGAGCAAGAATACACCCTGTTAGGGATATACACCCTAGCAGAACGTGCAACAGCAGTCTAGCAGACAGGCAGATATGTGAGACAAAACGTTGTAGTAGCTTACACTCAGTAAGACAGATACACTGTGCAAGTTAAATAGTTTTTATTCCAGCAAGAGTTATAGCATAGTCAAACGGTCCATATGTCATACACTAAGTTCAGTCAGTCCGGGGGTTAATCATTTTGCAAAGTCCAGTGTCGAAAAAGAGTTCATTAAACTTACAATCAATCAGTCCAGTGATATATCTCTTTTGCAGTCAGAGATATGAAGAAAAAAATCAAACCCCTTTTCTTCTCTCAGCAAACACGCAGTTATCACCATCAATCCATCATTGTCAGCATTCCAGTAAAAGCCGGCAAACAGTGAGCTCTCTTGCTCCCTCTTATGGTGATTTTACAACCGCACCCAAAATACATGGTCTGTATTTAAAGTGACAAGCACTATCATAGTCTATATATATTATTTTACCCAAACTAAGTTAGGTAACCATGTTATTCCTAACACACCCCGTCACAATCCTTATATTACTGTGACAGGGAAGGACCCTTGGTCCTTCTTCACTTTTAAGGTGGTGTTTAAAACAATTTCTGTATCAGAAAGAGAAGGTGCCTCCTTAAATAAATTCCAAGATTTCTACTTACTGCAAGTATTAATCATTAATGTAAGAGAAACTCTCAGTTTTCATAATTTGAAATAAATAA